AACGACGCCACACTAGGCACTGCCATTCTCGTTCTCTCGTACTCTCTTCTCGAATTTTCCAAGATTGCAGTTTACAACGCAGTTTTCAGCTCGTCCATTCCTCGGCCGGCTCTACAGCAAAAAAGTAGTTAAACCCAGACTAGTTTGCTCAGCCCGAGGCAGCGTCCGTGGATCCATAAAGCTATTAGCGCGCAACCCTCGCCGCTCAGCACTGTCAACAGCGCCCCAGGGTTTCCCAACCTGCGACATGTGAGATTGTGTCTAGACGTTGGTTTCCCTTTCCGACATCGTCGCTCGAATTACTTCTAGGCTGTCCGGGTGACGCCGCGTCGTTGGCAGATAGACCGACGTTTCGCCTGTCATGTCGCAGGCTACTTCAGGGTACTGACAAGTAAAGCTCCGCCTCCGGTGTTATATCTTATTCAGCTAGTGGTTGGGCAACGCAAGTGCGCCGTGATTGGCGGAGAGGTCCCTCTGATTGGCTCGCGATCTGGGCCAACCCGGGCCTCGCACTCGCCGTCCTAGAGATCGGACGGAGAGGAACTGTCCCCGCGCCGTCAGGCATCGGTGGAAGAATATATTTCCAGGGACGGGGACAGTTGATGAAGATAACCAACATGCTTTGAATTGTGGTTTATATTCCAAATATTTTAAACTGATGAACGAGTTTCAATGCCTCTACTAATATCTCCTGAAAATCATTCAGTTCAACTACTATTTAAAATAAAATAGACATGAATTAAAATAAAACACACAGTAACGCGCAAATGTGAAAATGTAATTGTTTTTAAAACTACCGTTTCTTTCTGTAAACGTAATGATAATCCAAGTTTAGAAATGGCAGCGATGTCCTGTTTACTTAAGCAACTTTTGAACAGTATACAAGGAGCTTAATTAAACACATAGCCGCCTATATTGTTCCTCTAAAAATAAAAGATCCGTTTGAAATTTGCTGAGATGTTGTTTTCAAACTGCTGGCCGGATGAAGGATGACAGGTTTTTATTAAACTGTTTTTCGGTACACTGAATCTCGAAAATGTGTACCTCGTATTTGTTTCAAATTCCTCAGAACAATTTCTTGAAGCAAAGAGACCGTATCTGGTCATCACATTGATCTGGCTGACACTCGGTTCCTACATTGGCTACGTTCCTTCCGTAAGCCCTGGATTTGTCTCTTCGATTCTACGGCTTGAATACCAATAGCTATACTCCCTACTATCTGTAGATATTGGTCACGTCTTATTCTAACATTAACTGGTATAATTAACAGGCGTTACACTTTAAACCATAACATTTTTCAGCTCCTTCCCAGAACACATTATAATTCGTTAAGACAAGGAAAAAAAATAGTTTGCACTGATGCGTCAAGGCTTCTTTTGCCTTTAATACGGAATTCCTTATACGTTGAACAACGTACCTGGATCGAAATAATCTTGGTTACGAGGGAATTATAAAAACAGATGAATTGGTGCTCTATGTTCTCTTATGAGAGGTAATTATGAAAGGTATTATCAGAAGGAAAATATGAAAAAAAACAAGCCGAGTAAAGGTAACATCTAGTTAAGTCGATTTTGGTCGATTGATTAGTGATTTCGAACGCGCCAACTAGTAAAGTCCCGTATATTTAGTTCATGTTTGTTCTCGGGTGGTGGAGAGGATCTTTCTGGTGACAAAAAGCCCTGGGACGAAAAGGCCCTCGAGCGTTTTGTCATCGCTCGGTCATTAAAACACTTATTTCCTTGGTGCAATAATTCGCCCCCCCCTCTTTGTGTTTGTGCGCGGTGCGTTGGCGTGCGGTGGAGTGAGTGTGCGGCGGGCGTGTGTGCGCAGGTGCCGTACGCGACGCCGCCCGTGCGCTCCAACCGCTTCAGCCCCACGCGCACGCCCAGCCCCTGGGACGGCGTGCGCATCGCCGACACGGACGGGCCCGTGTGCCCGCAGCGCCTGCCCGACATCGCCAACGAGACGGCGGCGCTGGAGCGCATGCCGCGCGGTCGCCTCGAGTACCTGCGTCGTCTGCTGCCGCTGCTGCGCAACCAGAGCGAGGACTGCCTCTACCTCAACATCTACGCGCCCGTGCAAGGTAGGCGGAGCCTCTCGCGCAAGCGGGGGCGGGAAATGTTTCTTTTTACTATTTAATTTTGCTCGCTTTAGAAACAGCTAAGGTCATCATCAACCACTGTTAATTTACATCAGAGATACATTGTATATAAATTGTAGCAAGGAATGCTTTTTTTATTATTTATTTCTGCTCACTTTAGAAACAGCTAAGGCCATCATCAACCACTGTTAATTTACATCAGAGATACATTGTATATAAATTAAATCAGGAAATGCTTTTTTTTATTATTTATTTTTGATCGCTTTAGAAACCGATAAGGTCATCATAAACCACTGTTAATTTACATCAGAGACACATTGTATATAAATTAAAGCAGGAAAAGCATTTTTTATTATTTAGTTTTGCTCGCTTTAGAAACAGCTAAGGTCATCATCATGTTAATTTACATCAGAGACACATTGTATATAAATTGTAGCAGGAAATGCTTTTTTATTATTTATTTTTGATTGCTTTAGAAACCGATAAGGTCATCATCAACCACTGTTAATTTACATCAGAGATACATTTTATATAAATTGTAGCAAACAGAAATATTGGACTTGGAACCCTGTATTTCACTTCCTTTAATTGTATTATGCGAACTCGTTAACTTTGTTTCTAGGTAAATCTGACGTTTTCAAGGACTTATTGATAAATTTCCTTAAACCTGAAAGTAATTTTGGGATTTTATGAAACAAGTTTATTTTTCATACCAACAATCTTGTCATTAATATCTGTATTTGCAAGTATTGTTTGTTTATTTAATAAATATATTTGAAATTCTTAAAAGAAAGTAATACATCAGGGGGGAAAACGGCGATCAATAAGAAAACTTTGATATTAAAAAAAGAAACAAAAAAATTCCAAACTTTCAAACAGTAAACAATTTCGTATATGTGCAGATTATTTCATATTTATCACGTGATTAATCACTTGCATTACTATGCACGCCAACTAATACCATTTCACTGCCTTAACGTGAAGAATTTAGTAATAGTTCTTCATCTCTTTGTAATTTGTTAAAAGAATAATGTTGTTTCAAAGGCCGCTTTTGCAGCTTTCTTCACTCACACTGTATAGTGAGGTCTCTGACACTCTTACTACAGACAATTCTTTACTACTTTCGCTAGAGTACATCGAAGTCTAAGCCCCAAAAGAGAAGAGTCGCAAAAAAGCTTAACGATTCTGGGTCACACGCTTCATTGCCCGCGAATGCGTTTCCCAGCTGTCGCAACTGAGCCGAGACTCCACCCCTTCGAAAAAGACGTTCTTCCCCGACAGAAGACGAGCCAACTGAGTATTTTTAGAAGAAAAAATGATTTAAGGGAAGTTTTGATTGTTGACATTAATTACCACTTAATGCACCCAACTTGATAAAAAAAAGACATGTCCAATTTCCCGAATTGATAACAATGATCATCAACATTGTAATTCATTTTTCAACATCAAATTAGTTTCTCGGGTACTACTTGTCTTAAATACGTATTTCTTAAAATCTTATACGCCCATAAAAATATAAATTACAGAATAAAGTGATATAATAAAATGAAATAAAACACAAGTAGCAATAGTGTAATGACGAAGTAACTACCTTTGTTTCAGTTTGATTGGTCCGATTCTCGTCGAAATATATTTCATTGTTTGATATTGAATTCCTACATGACATTGCAAAACGGCCTTACAGCAAACCTATGAATTCACATTTCTTGTGAGTGAATCCACATTTTTTTTTACTCACGACTATTCACCCAATCAAAATTTTCCAATGCAAATTACTGGATATATCAAATGTTTTCTGTACCTGCGAAGAGGAATTTCAAAATTCACTTTTCAAAGGAAGGGAAACACGATGCGCATATAAATTCAAACGCTGTGTGTAATCAAATCTCCTTTTATTTTCCTTTCTTTTTTTTCGTTAATTGTGAACGTAGAATGAAATTAGCTTTTGAATGTGGGTCGGTAAAAATGCGAAGAGTGAATTTCAGAATTAAAGAAGTTTAAATCCTGTAATATATTTTGATGTGCATATATTTTGATGACAACAATATAACACGTAATTGTTTCTCCCTTCTCTTCAATTAATTATATTGTAACTTTATTTAATAATTTCATTATAATAAATACGAATTGATTTTATAAGTAAAATTAAATAAAAATAATATACCAAGCAAGATTAAAAGGGAACACTGACGAATTACCTATATGACTAGTAAATGGAATTTAATAGCGCGTAATGTGATATGTAACATTTATTTTATTTCAGTATTTCATTATATTTTTATATACGGGTATGTTATCCGAGCGGTTATTAGCACATCAACAATTTGATTTAAATCAGTTTGTTATGAAAAACTTTATCTTAACATTATTTAAAGTTCAGAGATAAGATAATATGTTGAGGAAACATGCCAAGTTGTATATTATAATAGAATATTGCCGTACATTTAATCATTTCAAAATGGTGTAATTATAAATAAGCGGTAGAACGAGAGAGAAGCAGGTTTTAATTGATGTGCAAAGAAGTGGTCTTGAAGAGAATGACGGGAATGATACAAGGGTACGGCGATTTTGATGCGCGAGGCGGCCGCAAGAGCTATAAAATATTCAAACAAAGACGAAGAACATATTATAAATTGATAGATACATTTTTAAACATTTATTTGGTATCAGCGACTTACAAATCGCATGGAAACTAATCGCATGGAAATATAAGATGAGACACGCCAACCTCTTGGCAGCAGTATATCTCTGGAGATGGCCACAGCAAGATGGCCGAAACGTCAGCACAATTGACCGAGACGCGTCTCATCCCGGGTAGACAAAAATGCTTTGACTCCGGCCGCGGAAGCCTACGAACCCTTAATGGTAAAAACATGTTAGGCGCTAAAATTCACCTTCCAATGTTCCTGAAACACGGCAACCTCCAGGGATGTAGTGTCCACTACACTTTGGGACTAATGTTCTAAGTAGTAAATGGACTCGGAATCAATGCTCACTTACTTCACGAATATTATTTGAAATCTTTTCTCTTCCAAATCTTTTTCGGTGAAAGAACGTCGTGATGACGGGAGCTGACTGTGATTGTGATTTCTTTCTGCTACTCAGGACCGGTCTGGTTTGCCAGCAGATCGCCCATCCTACTGTTGCCTACTTCAGAACTAAAGAAGAACCATTATCTTTTAAGCTTTGAAGAAGGCCACAAAAATATTGCCGAAAGGTTAGCAAATCACGCGTTAACGTAACACAGCACTGATAGTAGAGAACATCCCGGCCACTGAATCCTTCGACTTCACCTGTAGACAAATGATCGGCATTTCTAGTGTGGCGCTCTCTGCGCCTGACGCAGGGCCCGTAAACTACTTTATCTGCGCGCACTCTCGCGACTATCTTCCCCGCTGCGCGGCGGCGATCCATCGCAGCGGGGATAGGGCGCGGCGTGTCCAC